ACTCCTGGGGACATTGGGGACAGCAGTGCCCTGGAGCCAGCAGGGATGACACTGTCCTGGGGACATTGGGGACAGCAGTGCCCTGGAGCCAGCAGGGATGACACTGTCCTGGGGACAGCAGTGCCCTGGAGCCAGCAGGGGTGACACTGTCCTGGGGACATCAGGGACAGCAGCAGGGATGGGCAATGCCCTGCCCAGGCTCCCCAGGAATGGGCACAGCCCAGCAGTGTTTGGACGCTGCTCTCAGGGCCAGGGGGGATTGTTGGGAGATGGATTTGGTCCCTGTGGATCCCTGCACCCCCAGCAGCTGGGAAAGCATCACCAAGGAAACCACAAAGCTCCAAGGAGTTCCCTTTTGCTGATGAAGCTGTACAAGCACCACCCACCGATGGATTCCAGGGGTCTTTCCCATTCCATAACCTCCCCTGGCTGCTACAGGAGAGACAGCAGACCTTTGGAGGCTGCTCCTGAAAAAACAACTTGGTTTAAGCACCGAGCTCACAGCTCCTCTGAGGGGGCTTTAGTTGCTGCTGGGCTGCTCCTGTGGGGAAAAGCTTTAATGAAAATTCCCTGAGGAGAAGGAGAGCATCCAGCACCTGCAGCAACTGCTGGAGAGGGGCAGGAGCAGCCACAGCGCTGCCTGGGGTGGGCACAGGATGTGAGGGACAGGGAAAGCTCAGAACAGAATTCCTGAGCAGGTTCTCCCACAGCTCCTGCCCTCCCATCCCTTTCCCATGTCCTGCCACTCACCTGGCAGTGCCCCCAGATGTGCCAGGCTGAGGACGGCAGGGCTGGCCCTGCTGATGCCTCCCCAGGAACACACAAGGCTTAATAAAGCAGCTCATTAATCACTAACGAGCTGCTGCCTCACTCAGGGCTGTCCCTCCTTCAGAGCCCAGCATGCTGTGACAGCACTCCCTGCTTTCCATGCTAAGGAACAGCAGAGGGGAGAGGCACCAGAGCCTCCTGTCTGTGTTCATGGATCTGTCAGTGCTTTGCCTTGGGATTGTTCGTGTTTTAAAGATAATAAATATATCCAAGCCCCAACTTTGTCCTCTCACCTCATCCACCGGCATTTTCCCTGCGTGGAGGGAGATGTCCCCAGCCTGTCACACCCTATGGACAACACCAGGAGCATCCCTGAACCTTCTCAGGAGTGTGGCACAGCCCTCAAAGCCAGGAGGACCAAAGATGGTCAGAGAAGAGCAGGCTGGAGCTGAGCTGGAGCTCTGGGAGGGTCGTGGAGAAAGCTGGAGCCCACAGCCACCCTGCTGGGGCTGAGGTGACAGAGGACAGGGAATGGTGGCCACACAGGGCCCTGGCTGGCGCCTGAGGCTCATTTAAGGAGAAACAAACTTTGTTTCTGATTTCTACAAAAGTGCTTTAATACCAAAACAGCTGAAAATCCCTTTGGGTGCATCTCTGGTGCCATCAAATGTCCCGTGTGCGATTCCCCAGGCCCTGCCAGGCCTGGGGAGGGTGAGGGACTTGTCAGGCACCTCCTCCCAGTGCAGCACATCCCCAGGGAGGGGACACAGAATCCCCTCCAGACCCTCCTCTAAGGACAGT